GAATTTGGTGCTTTGTGTAAGATAGCTGTGCTGCTCTCTGGTGCTTCTTATCAGTTCAAATATGATTAATAATGAATAGATATAGATGCCCAGAGAAAGTTTTACTTCTAGTCAAAATCTGAGTCTTCTAACAGTTTCTTATTAATTCCTAGGTATCTTTATACGGGATTTCTGAGGGCCAACAAAGGTTGATATCTCATTTTATGGTCGACTAATAATTAAGGTATTTAGATCTAACCAGATAGCTTTGGCCTTTCAAGAGAAGTAGGTTTCTTGATCTTGAGTTTTTAAATTGAAATAAACAGAAATCCTTTGACCCTAAAACCATGTTATCAAAGTACCATTCTCCTAGTATGGATACTAATGCAAAGCATGTAAGAAGCAAGCAAAATACCCAGGTTTAACTAAGAGCTATTAATACTGATTTGTTTGGTTGTTTCTAACCATAAAAGCGTAACTGTTTGTGCTCCAGATTCTGTATTTCTCTGTACTAACAGTTTAATTCAGTGTGTCGTCTTTCAGGTTAGCCACCTTTTATTTCAGTGTCTCAGTATAGCTTTTGACATTCAATATAAACACTTTCCCCTGCCTTTTCTGAGTGATGCAGCATAGAAGGAAATGCAGTTTCGTCTATTTTTTGATATTATTAAACTCTTCTTGCAATCCTGTGTCCTGCCCTGTTGGTAGAGTAGTTTGTTGGTAGTTTCAGCGGAGAGTTGACAAGTACTAAAGCTGCATCTTCAGCAAGAACTAACATTTTCAGGTATGGCCATGGTTAGAGGTTCCCAGTTTGAATGCCCAGGATAAAACATTGCTGACTAAGTTTGATGAATTTTGAAAAATCAAGGACTGAAGAATGATTAAACTCTTCTGAAAATCAGATCTCTGTATTCCAAGCTTGTGGGCACCTTCCTCCAAATCCAAAGGCAGCATGGAGGCTATGCTGCTGCTAGAGCCAATGCTGGTGCCTTGCTCTTAACTCTGAGGGGCCTGGACGTCGAGTGGCTTCCTGAGCACAGCTCTGCATTTTCCCAGGACGGGGGACACATGGCTGAAGGTTCTGCCCTCCGCTGCCGTTGTCACGGCTTTGTACTGAATGGGTCACATCTGCGTGTTCAGACCTGAGGCTGCTGCAGCCAAATGCTGCCTACAGTTTATATGCTGTGTGCATGTATGATGTGTATATGTATGCTCTGTATGCATATGGTGGTATAGTTTAGCATCAGATGCTCAGAACTGCCGGTGATTCTGAAGCAAGAAAATATGAATCTGGAGACCAATAAGGTTTATTTATTTGTTTATTTGTTGGTAGAGAGTTAGTCTGGAAATCCTGACTATCCAGGCAGTCTGTGGAAAGACAGATGCCTGCTTTTATCTGCAAAGCTGCCAGAGTTCTGATGCGGCTTTGCAAATGACTGATTTCTGGGGTGCATGCAGACGTGGTCGGTTGGGGATTGGTGGCTTTGCAGTGTCATCTGTCTATTGGAGGAGAGAGATGAGAAGGGAAAATGTTTTACATCTCTGGAGTGCAACAGTGTTAATTTATTTGATGTGGCCAGTGTGGACTGGAGCCATCCCTGGAAACCCGTATATCTTCTTTTTTTAAAGCAAAACATGAGCAAGCCGGCTTTGGGACTGCATGCATTATCTGGGAAGGAGCGGGGCTAGACATCCTTTGGAAAGGTTTCCGCGGCGCAGCTGTGCGCCGGCTCATGTACTTGGGAGCAGTGACTGCGCCTCGCAGTGCTCAGCGGGGCTGCGGTTGGGTCTGCGAGGGCGCAGCGGGGTGTCCACGGCTCCCTCGGATTCCCGGCTGGGCAGCGCTTCCCTGCGGGCCCAGCTTGCTGTGGCTGCATGGGAGGTGGCGTTTTCTGGGCAACGCCGCATGGCGCTGTGACCTAGGGACTTTCCGTCTGTGCAGACTGATTTGTTATCCGCAGTGGTGTGGCAATCTGCGCCTCCGAGGCAGGATTTGGGCTGGCGGGGCTAAGTACTAGTGCCCAGACCAATCTGCAGCAGTGGGGCAGAGTGGGGACACCAGGATGTTGGGGCCCATGGCCAGGCCCAGGTGGTGGCACCAAGCTGAGCTGAAACAGGGCTTCTGGAGTGTGGGACAGTAGAACTACTGCAGCGGGTGGCGTGGCTGGAGGGTACTCCTGCAGTCAGCCCCATGCCAGGTTTCTTTGCTTTGTGAGGCACTCTGTTTTTGCTGAAGGAGATTACGTAGCACTTACAAAATGAGTAAACTGGAGCCATACCCAAATAAATGATGCATGAGCAAAAGCGCTTGGAAGAGTGCGAGCTCTCCTGTCAGTTTGGCTGATTCCCTTAAAGGGCGCTGCAGTTTGGCAGTCACTTTTGCCTGAAAGCTGAACATCCAGGCCCAAACTTACGCTGTGAGAAGTAATGGTGCTGTTCCCCAACCCTATAGCAGTACCAAACTGCAAGGGTTTGTATGTTGGCTGGCCTTTCCCCTGGCTACAGAGCTTGGTGCAGGGCTGTTGGCCCTGGGAGCGGTGAGCTGGAGCACTGCAGCGCGCTGCTTGGAGCAGCCCCGGAGAGCCTCCTGGAGACGGCAGCGGGGCTGGGGCATCCACGGCGCTGCCGCGGCTCCGCCGGAACGGAGCTGCTGCCTGGGTGTGCTGCACTCCCAGGCATTAAATGCAGCAAGTAAAACAAAGTACAACATTTCTTTTTCTAATTGGCAACCCACACTGAACAGTGAAAGAGAGGGAAAAATGGACTAAAGCTCAGTGTCTTGAGCTGGAGATGGGAGCATGTTATAGCAAAAAAAGGGGGAGTAGTAAGGGCTTGTTTGGAACGTTTCTGATCTGAGGTCCTGTCTGTTTTCTACCTACATGCAGTTGAGAAATGATCCATCAGCACTTGTAACAGTCTTTAAACAACAGGAAAAAATATCCTCGTGGTAGGTGCTCTACTGTTATTTTTGTACTGATAATGAATTTTGTAATGGTAAAGAATTTGGCAACAGGCTGGCCTCTAAGCCAAGCATAGGGGTTACACAGACTTAATTAACAGAAAAAAAATCAGCATAATCATTTTGGAGAAGCTGTAGTATTTCTGCCCTGGTCTTGCAGGAGCTGTGTATTACAGGCAGCCATAGTGTATGCTACGTTGTTTGGTGGAACTTCTGGTACTGGCCTGGGTGCTTTTATCACTGCATGCACATTTTAATGGTTAGAAAATACTTGCTGGGGTTTTAATAATGCCTTAATATCAGCCCTTTCACTTATATTTGAATGACTCCTATAGAGTTTTTTCCCTACTTCTTGGCACAAAGTAGACAGATGAGAAAGTAATTTAAGATATAAATCAATATTGCCCTGCTGGTTCTATTGTTTGGGTATTTTTAGCACACTGCTTTTCTGGATTTGCTTTTCTTTTACGTCTCTCAATTTATTTCTCAGGTGGTCTCTGTGGTGAGAGTTACTCCCAACTTGTCAGCTAAAATTAAATGGTTAGCACTTTTTACAGTTTATTTTCCTAATGTAATAGCTAAATCCATTAGCTGAAAGTTAGGGAGCTCAAGTCTGTAGCTATTTTCTTAAATCTCACAGTGAAGCCTTCAATCGCTTCCACTTCCAAGGAGCCTGGTTTCTTAGGATGGGGCTCAGGAGCTTCTGTATGGCGTGGGGAAGGCACCTGGTTTCTTTGGGAGCTGGGATGGAAAGCTGAGTGGCTGCGTGGAGGGGGGATCAAGTCCTCTTGCCTTGGCGCATCCTCTGAAGGCGAAGGGAGGGAAGCAGTGGGAGATACTGCCCCTCGTTGCCCCAGCGCTCCCATGCCGGGGCCCTTAGGCATGCCGGGCACGTACCATATGACCTGGCTCCTTGCTCGTGGGGCTTCGTGGGTGCTGCTAAACCAAATACTGAGCTGAGGTTTGAGAATGGATACTGCGTTACTGGCTTGCTGCTGTGGGCCTGTCAGGTTTAGATTTCCTATTCATGGTAAAACTTTACTGTTTTTGGAGACAGACAGAGCTCCCTCTTGTCAATAACTAAGATTAATAGCAGCCAGTTGGGCTGAAGTGTTGCACTGATTTCCCTTGATTTTCCTTGACATTTAATATTCAATGTCCTTTTCTTCATCCTAAACTTTATGCACTGAGAAGCAGATGCTGAGATGCTTTGGTAAATACTACATATAGAGGCTGATGCCCTGCTAAGGGTAAGAATTGGAAGGATTTCAGCTTGCTTGGGAGCAGACTGCTTGCAGCTCTGCACATGTTTTGACATACCCTCTTCATTGTGTCTTGCTGTTTGCAAGTAGTGCCGCAGGCTTTTGTTGTTCTGATGCGCTGTTCTCCCTTCCTTTTTTATTTTTTAAATTTTACCTCTGAGTTTAATTCCTGCTTTCATCCAAGCCATTTGATGAATATCTACTAGTCTGATTAAAAGGGACAAGATGCAAACAAGAGAGCGAGAAGTTTGTGTAGAATAAAACAGGATGAGTTGGGAGGCTCCTTACAGTCCTGATGCTGCCCCATATGTTTGCCCCAAAGTTGGTAACTTGCTCCTTTCTACAGTGTGCTTGGGATTTGTGCTGATAGGGCAGGCATGTAAATGAAGGAAAGTAGTTTAAAAGCACAAACACAGATTTCTTGCTTAACTCTGCCTGCACCCACTGCTCTTCTCTGTTGCCTGTTAAGAAGGAAATGCTTGTGAGAAGACAGCTAATTTGCAGGCTAGTCCTGAGATGAGCTACCATAGGAAAACTGTGCTTAAGAATAAGCAAAATGTGGATGGATTTTGGTCCTGATTATTAGACACAATAAAAATGGGAATGGTTGTTTTACATAGGATTGGCTCATTCTTCGTGAGGTAAGGATGATCCCAAATTTAACTGTAAGTACTGTAGATATAGTCCATTTTCCTAATCTTTGATTAATTTTTGCTTAATGTTTCCTTAGACAGAATACAGATAGAAAAATATGTTTATATATTACTTGTCAGTTTTAAGTACTTTTGGAAAAAAACAGCATGTTCTTCTGCCTACAGGATTTGAAAACTAGCAACCAGCGAGATGAAATTGCTGCAGCACGTGCAAGTCTGAAGGAAAATTCATCGCTTCTACATTCAATATGTTCAGCTTGCTTGGAACATTCAGATGTGGCATCCCTTACAGCCAGCAAGGACTCCATCTGCAATGAAATACAGAGTGCTCTCAACGTAATTTCAAATGCTTCCCAAGGAGTCAGAAATGAAATGGGACAACCTCCCTCTCGCACAGCTACTCTAGGAAGAGCCCTTGATGAGCTCGAGGTAGGTAAATGCGTAGACGTGTAACACTGCATCGTTTTGGATTTTTTTTTTTTTAAAAAACTATTGTTATAAGTGGCAGATAAAAGATGTTAAAAACGGAAGCTTTGTTTAGTTTTAGTGAAACTATATCACTATAAACTATTTCACTGGGAGGAATTACTTCCTTCAAGACAATTTGGAATTAAGTCTTCGTATATGTTCAATATTTGGCTTCTTTTGAACGGCAGGCATGAATTAGTTCTGAGCGTATCACTAAAGGTGGAGATGGAATCAAGTCCTTGAATTATCTGGGCAAAAGTCATGAATTCTGTTTAAAACTGACAATAGACATTATCAGAGAATGATAACCACCATTGGCCTAACTAGATTTGAACTAGTTTAATACAATATAAAATTCTTTATTTTGAAACTTCTTGTTGGGATCATTATGTAATTTATATAATGCAAGGTTTTGGAAACCAAATAGATTTCTGTTTATCATTCCATTAACTGATATAATCATTATGCTTTCATAAACTAGGTGTCTCTGCCGTCATTACTTAAGCAAACACTTGGAGAAAGCCATCTTTTTGTCTGCTGAGCTAGGCACCCTGCAGAGCTTGTCCTTTTCCCCTGATGGCACCTGGGACTCTTAGCAGAGTCATTACTCCTTGTCTGCTGACGTGGGAAATGGCAGCGGGGAGGCCGAGGCTGCGGACCGTGTTCCTGGGCTGCTGTGAGTGCTGCAGGCCCACACCATCCAGAGCAATAAAACACACCTGCAAATATGGGCCTTTTTGCTTGTAAAAACTCAGAGCTATTACATCCTTGGAACTCCAGTGTTGTTGGCACACATTCATATAAATTGGTGTTATAACTGATGATAATAGATTTTGCCTAAAATTTTTGATTAAAACAAGAAAAAATGCATTGGAGTCCATGTATGGTACTGTTCCTGTAGTGGCTTTATTAAACAAAACAGACCTCTCAACCATGGCCAAAGTTGAATCTCTGACATGTTTTTCCCAAAAGGACAGATTCCAACTGTTTATTTCAGTCTTCATTGCTGCTTTCATTAGGTTTTAAAATTACAACTGCAAATCAGTAATCATTATTTGATGGGAAAGAAATGACCCAAATTTTGTGCATCGTATATCATTTGTTACAGTGGAACCCTGAAAGACAAATAATCTAACTTAAATTAGAGCCATTGTTTACCTGTTTTTTTCTTTAAACATTTTCATGCTGTGCCATTTTAGTAAATCATTTTTCTGATAACATTAAGTAAATCATTTTTTAGTAAATCATTTTTCTGATAACATTAAATTTAATATTGTTTTCAAATCTAAGAATTAGGATAATAATGATTTTTTTTTGCTTTGAATTCATTTTTATTCAGAAACTTAGGAATATACAAGCCTGACTTACAAAATGTTATTGTGTACTGAATTTTAAATTCATTTTTACTTGAGTAACACAGGTGGGAACTGAAACTGTATGAGTTAGGTAAAGCACAACTTACAGATCTTTTAACTTGTAAAAATGATTTTATGAATTAAATGATTGCACTTAAAGAAAGTCCTTTTGACTAAGGACCCAAAAAGTAAGGACCTTTACTCTATCTTGTTCTTAGAAAGACAGTACCATGAAATAAATTGGCATAGTAAACAGTCCATTGGGAACAAATCTCATTAAATGCTTATACTGTGGAACTGTATCAAGGAGCTTACCCAACAGTCCTGTATCTTCATGTTTTTTAATGCCAAACTTTGCCAGTGCTGGCAGTGTGAAAGTAAACATGGATTTATAGGTGAGGAAACCACCAGTAAAAACAGGGTAGCTAAATCAGTAGAGCTCTCAAGAATTCCTCAAAGGTTTCATATAACCACCATACATAATTAAACATTGAATTGTAATGCTAAAAGCATAGAGCCTTATTAAGAACTACTAAAGAGCTTTTAGGTGCAGGTTATTGAATGTACTTCAATGGTTTGGGAGCTTATGCATGTGGAGAGAGAGATCTCTCTACAAAATACAGTTAATGCCCAAGCCCTCTGTCAGCTCGTTCGTCTGATCCATGGTCTTTGATGGCAATGGCATTCCAGCAGAGCAATTAATTACCAGATGACAAAATACTATATAAAGGTAAGCTATATATGTGAGCCCCAAAACACAAATTATGTAAGTGAGCCCCAAATGTCAGGAAATACAACCATGTTGCTGGATACCTATGATTCCTGTTTTTCATGGATCAGAAGACTAGTGAGACAGCAAGCAGGAACGTAACCGCGCTGTTGAAGCGCTTGTTTCTGTTTTCCAGCTGAAGTGGGTGGCTGTTGGCTGCACTGCTTCCCGTGCACGGGGGTTCACTGGCAGAGGAGCTCTTCCTCTCATGGTCATTAGTTTCTCTACAGCTGCAGGTTTGGGGCCATGTATTCAGCCTTTTTCACCAGACCTTCTTAAAGCAAAAGAAATATTTGGATTATGAAATCCATTTTTTTTTGTAGTTTTGTTGGAGAATCTTCCAGCTGTTTCAAAACAGTTTTTGGTGAATTTGTTTATTTGTTTTGTTGAAAAAGGAAGACTGAACGCATAACAGACTTCCTTTCTCCAACTCATACATAATGCAAAGGAATTTGTTGTTAGAAACAAAACTGTAGAATTTCAAGGTTACTGAAGTCCCCTTTTCTGGCTGTTTATCTCATGGTGTTGTAATAGAGCAGTTTCTCTGCTCTTTGAGTTTTATAGGCTAGGCAGTGCCTCAAATTATCATACTAACTATAAACCACAATATGAATTCCACTTAAAGATATATGCTGTAATTTTCCTGTTTAATATTTCTTTTGAAAGCGAATGGATATGATAAGAAAATAGACTTATAGAGAATTTAGGCTGAGTGATCTGGACAATAACAACAGTTTCAGATGTTCACTTTGATTAAAAAAGTCCATCTGGGGTGGAGCACAAATTTACTTTCTTTTCCATTCTATCAAAGTACCACCTCTCCTTGACTTTACCATAGCTGGTGAAAAGAGGTCCCACTTCTACCTGGGACCTTTGGAAGCAGAACTGTTGAACCGAAGCTACTCTTTTGCACTTTGTCTATTCAATCTTTTAAAAGTAGCAGCAGTGACTTTCTGCCACAGTCTGATTACAAATAAGCAGAATTGGGCCGTTCAGCTAATCCAACATAGTGTATCTCAGCTATGAGCAAACACTGCTGCTTTTCTGTTGAATCCAGAGGTGCCTGTGGTCTCCCAGAGTCCAAATGTTGAAGGTGTTGAACTGCCTACAGCTTTTCACACAAAACTGACTCTCTGGTCCAAAATACTTGGATAAAAGATGGAGTAGTACTGAGTAGGAACCATCACACACATGGGGGGCATATTTGTCCACAGGCATTATGAGCTTAGTATATGATGCCTTTCTTCTTTTTAATGGGTGCCGAAGTAAGCGTGCAAGACGGTGTCACTACTAGGGGCAAACAGAGAAGGTGGGTGACCATTGTGGTAGTTGAGTCCTCGCTCTGCCCGTTCTATAAGGGACCCACCGCTCCTAGCGCCACTGAAGGGCTGGCGTGAGGCCGGGAGGATTTGATAACACGGCTCTTGAGTTGGAACAGGTCATGCTGGAATGGCAGAGAGAACTTGGCTTTGTGTGCAGATGACCTGGATGCTGGGGAAAACAGAATTTGCTCCTCAGCAGCAGTTTGGCTACATCAAACAGGAGGGGGTGGTCGGAAGTCTGGAAAACAAAATGTCGCTGTGGGTCATGCAGATAGCAGCTAAAGCAGAGACTTCAACGAGCTGACTTTTCTTGCCTATACTCCTAATATTTTCCAGAATTTAATTGTCCTGGATCCTCTCGTAGTGAATGAAGAGAAAATAAGGCCATCGCTAGAGAAACGTTTGGAAGCTATTATTAGCGGAGCTGCTTTGCTAGCAGATTCTTCCTGCACACGTGACTTCCATCGAGAACGTATCGTTGCGGAGTGCAATGCTATCCGCCAAGCTCTCCAAGACCTGCTTTCTGAATACATGAATAACGTAGGTAACCATACTTTTTTCCTATTTTATTTTTTAATGTCTGTTTCAAAACCTATTGTAGTATAGATAAGTATTGAATAGAAGTAATTAGGTGAGATTAGCAACAAGAGTTTTTTCCTCATTTAGCTTCCTAGTTTCCTCTTAGAGTTTGAGGACTGGAGTTCTAAAATTTTATCTTTGTTGCTATAGGATACAACAACTTAAATGGTAACTGTCTAAATGTAAGTAATCTGTCCATGTCCTATAATCAGAGCATTGGGACAGGCTGTCCAGAGAGATTGTGGAGTCTCCTTCTCTCGAGATGCTCAAAACCTGCCTGGATGGGATCCTGTGCCATGTGCTCCCTGCTTAGCAGGGGTGCTGGACCACCTGATCTCTAGAGGGTCCCTTCCAACCTCACCCATTTCTGTGAAAACCTTAAATCTCATCCACCTGCCATGCTTATAAGCTAATTCACAGGATACATCTGAGGCTGAAAGGTACCTCTGATGACTGTCTAGTCCAACCGCCCTGTTGAAAGCAGGGCAGCTAGAGCAGGTTGCCCAGGACCATGTTGCACCGGGGTCTGAGCATCTCCAGGGACGGGGAGTCCTCATCCCCTCTGGGCAGCCTGTGCTGGACTTCACCCCCCAGGGAAACCAGGGCTTGCTTAGGTTCAAGCTGTGTCTCAGTTTGTGCCCACTGCCTCTCACTGTGGCCCTGAGAAGCACTGAGGACAGTCAGGCTCCCTCAGGTCTTTACCCCCGCCCAGCAGCTCTTCCCGCATTGCTAAGATCCCCCAGGAGCCTCCACTTTCCCAGCTAAACGCTCCCAGCTTGGCCTCTCTTCCAGGGAGAGGCGCTCCAGGCCCTGCTCCCTGATGGCTCTTTGTTCCTCACTGGTAGATCTTTGAAAAGCCATAGAGTTTCATTGTTTTTTAAAAAATATTGCTAAATTTAAATAGCTGGTTTGGCCCTTTCTGTGTCTAGCAGTTATATGAAAAAACTGTAGAGTCGGATGCTATTAATATGCGTACATAGTGTTAATATCATGCCTTTTCTCTGGAACTGTTTCTGTAAGCACACTGTTCTTATCTAAATATATGTCAAGTTGATTCATCTGCCACACTGCGACGATAATTGTATGATACAGCCATTTATTTCTGTTTTTGGAGCTGAAATTCCTTTCTGTTTTGTAAGTCATCCTGCTTACCTAGTGCAAGGCTGTTGCCTCCTTCCTTAGGAAAATGAAGAGTTAGGGATTAAGGCAACCTAGGGATATCAGAGGTTTCTTCATTTCCCTGGTATTTTACTTGCTGGTTTTTTGTCAAGTTTATTCATCATATTTGGGGGAAAAAAATACAGGTGATTTATTCCATTATCTATGAATTTAAGTTGCTGTTTCAGTCCCTAGGCAGATAAAGATGCTCCCATTTTTTCTTTAACTCTGGATTTATCTGTAGTGTATCTGTTGGATGGAACGAAAGTCCTGAACCTCTCCGGAGGTGCTCTAAATGTGGGTCAGCTGTGTGAAATGTTCTAGCTATGGTTAGCTAGGGATGTTGGTCTTTGATACCTTCTTGCAGCAGCTGTCTGTAGCAGATGTCTGCTCTAGGGTGGATCTGCTTTGCTGATGAAAAGCTGAAAGTTTAATAAGGAAGACATCATTGGAAGCAACAGGGAACATGGAAGGATACAAATGTGGTGCTTAGCAATCTGTATCAGCCCAAAAGATCAGCACAGGTTTGTTGCAAGAACCCTTTAGTGGGATTGTGTCCTGTGTTAGACTGAATGACTGGAAGTCATGTAGTCTTAAATCCTTGGCCTCCTGGAACAAAGTTGGGATTGTGTTTTCTGTTTCAAAAAGAACCATGTTCCTAGTAACCCTAGTGCAGGCTATTGGGAAGTGAAAAATCCTTTGTCCAACTGGAAGTGTAAACTTCAGAGGGTTAGGAAACAGCTCTTCAAATAAGACCAAAAGGAAAAGTGCCTGGACAAGATAGCAAGGACACAGATGAAGGAAGTGAAAAGGAAGAAAGTCCGTTTCTTGCTTTAAAGTGGAAAAAATTGTCATTTTAGTTGTTCTTAGTAATTCTTGTGAGTTGTAGTATCCAGTTGCTTGGACTTTATTTATTTATTTTTATTTTTAAATATGTAGTGGTCATTTCTTCCTGGTGTGTTGGTTTGATGGATTTTCTTAAGAATTCTTTCTGCCTGAAAGAATTGCTAGTGGGCGCTACATTGCTCTGGAGACATTGGGCTCCAGAAGCAGCACCTTGGCAAATCCTTCTCTAGCAGCTGCTTCACCAGGAGCCTGAGAACTGCACTAGCATTGGTGACATCCAGATCCCCTGGGTCTTTGAGTGCTGCATCATCTGTGTCATCAAAGTCTGTTTCCCGAAATTAGCCCTCAGTGCTTAAACAAATGTACAGGAACTTAACAATTCCTCCCAACTATTTGAAACAGTGTAAGGGATGTAGCTTTTTTTGTTCCCAGATGCTTTGTTTTTATTTCTCAATTATTCTAAGTCTCTAAATAAGCCTCAAGGACATCAAGTGAAATCAAGGGCCTATTGATGTCAGTGATAAAACTTGAGAGTTGTCTCTGAAAGCCAGGAAAAACATCTTTTCAACAGTTATTGCCTTTTATGTAAGTGGCTGCTTTTCACAGCGGCTGTATCACAATGAGGTGATGCAATGAAAATTCAAGCAAAATGTTATTTACACTAATAAAGACCCATTCTGTCTCCAAGAAGCTTAAGCTTTTCTATTCACAAAGTAACTCAGGCAAATAGTAAATTGCAAAATAGGGCAAATGTATTTATAATTCTTCTGAAAAGCACCAATCTTTCTTTCAGGATTGCTGGATTATTTGTGTATTATTACTATTCTCTTTGAATTTGATTGATAGATATATCCTGTTAAGGAATATGTTTATATTTTAGGACATCAAGTAACAGAAATGAGTATTGTGAAACTGGGCAGTTTATCAATGGCAGGATCATACTGCAGTGTGTGGAGACGAGCGGATCCATAGGAGCTATCACTTGCATTGCATTCTCCTCACACCAGAACTAGTGTCTTGTCTCTGCTCATTCTCTAAAGTGAAAAGCTTTGAATACATCAGGGTGCAGCAGCACTGACTGGTTTCCTGAGCTCTGTCTTTATGCTTTTTTTCCCAGTCATAAGAGAGAGAGACACTTCCCTGGGGGATCAGCGGGGATAACAGGGCTGTGAATGGGGAGGGATCGGGTGGGTGCTGGTGAGCTGGGACGCGCTCATGAGATGAGGGCTGCTTTCGTGGGTTCCAGTTCCCTTTCCTTTGAAAGATTGCTTCAGGGCGTTGGGGCTGTATCTGCTTCTCATCTTACTATGGATGTGGGTTGGATGTTTATTTCTTGGCTGTGCTTGGGTGGCATACTGAGTGCCAGTTGTCATGGGTTGTGATTTCCTTGATTTTCCTTCTGTGTTTGAAAGATCTCTGTTTCTTAACTGGTTCTTATGTAAAATTGTCTCAATTTTTGGATGAAATAATTTTGGTACAATTCCTTGCATTTTTATGGTAATTTTCCAAGTTTATGGACACTGAGATTCCTCAGACTTCATCTGACCTGTGCTTTATGGATTCCTGCAGAAGGTTTTACCACTTCCCTAGGTAGAGAGAAGACAAGACACTTCAGTTTATAATCGCAGTGGTGCAGTGCATCTCTCATTTAAGCTACTTACTCTTGCTCTGAGCAGTGGATTTCTCATTTCAGTGCTCACGGGGAACATTTTGGTAGTTCTGCAAACTGCAAAAATTGTCCCCAAAGACTTGTTTCAAGCTGAAGAAAATGTTTTTCAGCTTTAAAAGGGAATGTTTCATGTTTTTAATTTAAAGAATTGCCCAACTCTGTTAGATACTTGGAGCGTTGTCCCTTTTCATCCATATATTACAGGTACAGAAATAGAAGACTACTAATATTTAACAGTATGAATGCGAAAAAAATGGTGCTTGGTAAGTATAATATTAGGAGGCAGAACAGAATCTCTTGGCGTGATGTGTATGAATCAAATAATAAGCAAACTTGCAAAAACACTCCAGTCTCTCTTCATACCATATTCACCGTTCTTTATGGTAAAGCTTGCTTTCTTCATTCCTGTAAGGGTCCCCACCTTCTGCTCTTCTCAGGTGCCTTCTAGCCTTGTTCTAGATCACTTTGCCTAGCAGAATCATTAATGTTGCAAATATAAATCAGCAA